AGCACAATCATTCCATTTGGTTTGATACATCTAATAGCAAGATATACATTAACCAGTAATAATTATTTGTATTATACTCTCATTTCTCAATATTTGGATGTATTATTCAATCTAGATCGGCTTTCCCAGGTACTATACGGGTAAAATTTGTAGATTCAACCAATCAGGTTTCATAAAGAGAACCATTCTGAAATATTCTGAATTAAACTTGAATAATTTTTGCATATTTTTATATGGGAGTGAGTCAATAGAAATGCACCAAACCTTTTTCAATGAAATTTTTTTGAATCTTTGAACAAAAATAACTCAACAAAAGCTTAATTAAATTTGCAAGACCAGAATGTGTGACAGGTTATGCTAATTAATCATCATCGCCAATATTAAATCGATTTTAATTGTTAGAGTCAGATTGGAAGGAGTTAGAAAGGAGATTTAGCCAAAACTTAATCCAGAATTATGAGTAAAATTTTTTTCTTAGAGCACCAAGAGCAGGTTTATAGGCAAAATTTTGAGATAGAAAAAAATTTTTTCTTAATTTTGTCAATCAACATGTCACATATTCCAGACTTGCATTAAATTTAATACAATTTTTTAAAAATAATTCTACAAGTTTATAGAATTATTTTAAAAAAAAATTATTAAATTTGCTTAAGTTATATATTACTAAGTTATTTTTGTTTAAAGATTTAAAAAAATTTATTTAAAGTGCATTTCTACTAACTCACCTTTATATTTTAATTAAATAATAATAATATATATAATAGTTATTGGATTTAAAGCATCTAATAACTGTAGTTATTTGATAGGTGATACAATTATATTGTAATCTGTATAATTACTATATTTTTGTTATATCTACAAATAATATAAAGTATCTGGCAAAGAATTTTAATTGTAAGATGGCTTGCACCACAGTAGTGTTGGAATCTAAATATTAATTTAGATATCTGGATTGACATTTGTTACTAAAAATAATTATCTAAATATCTGTTATAAATGTAATATTATAATTTAGATATCCATTCAGATATATCTGGATGTATAAGTAATAAATTGTAATTATTGCAACCTATTATGAAGTATCTTGGTATATATCAAATAGTCAAATTAATAAATTATTAAATTTTTTTTATGCATTATATGCTATAGTATTTCTTGCAATCTAATAAATTTGGGTCCTTGATTGAGCTTATATAGGAAGAATTCTGATCGGCTAGACTAGAATTGATCAATTTTTTCAAGATCACTAAGTTTTACTAACAATTCATTAATATTAAATAATAAATACCTAGCTTATATGATATTGTTTGCTATTTATATTTATGTTATATAATAGAATCTGCGTGATTATTTCTTTCTAATTTTGTAAAAGAAAATTTTTATTTGTTATTTTTATAGTTACTTTGATACTTCAAAGTTTCAATACTAATATGATTCATTTATTATTTAGATATCAAGAGCATATAAGCTGTCATTGAAATATTTCATATGTATACTATTTTAAATTAATGTAAAAAATGATTTTCTTGTAATTTTTGAATGTTTTGGTCTTAATTTGCACTTTTGTTTTTTGTTTCTTTTGCATTACACACTTTTTTTTTCTAGATTTTTTGCCAGTTTGATTAATTGATAATATTATGATCAGGTGAGAGATTTTATACCAATATAGCCAATTTAACTTAGAGTCATAGTATTAAAAATAATAAACTGATAATTTTTTATTATATTTCAGATATTACAAGTAGCAAATATCTTTATTCAACTAATTAATCTACTAATTTTCCTACTGACTAAAAACTAAAAACCTTCCAAAAAGCCTTTTAACTAGCATTCTATAACCTTTTATTTATATTTACTATTAGACTCTAATTAGACTAACATGTAAAATATAAAGTATGAACTTAAAATATCATAATGATTGACAAAGCATAATAAAATAATTGTTTTGATCATTGCTTAATTACAAAGTAAACTATTATACAAATGAAAGTATTTATAAAATATTAAAGAGCTATGGTGTGATAAAACATAGGAGATAAACAAGTAGTTTGATTGGCTCGTGTATTATATATAAGATGTTGATCAACAATATATGTGCATTTTATGTTAATTTTTGCTTATTGTAGACAATTCAAGTATAACATAAAACCTTACTTACTATGTATTACAAAAATTTATTAAACTTAGTCGCTATTAGGGTAGTAATTATATTTAGGCAAAATGATATCTAATGCAAGCATTAATCTGAGGCACAACATACTGCATATACCATTTCGAATAATTAAATTATAGTGTATATTGTTGCTATATCAAATACTAATAAGCAAGTTAAATATTTAAATTATTATATAACTCGGGAAGCCTATACATTTCACACAACCTACGTGCCAGAGGCACAGGTTATACACTAATAATTATTAACTTTGTTATACTTTTTGTATAACAATAATCAATGATCATCAAAAAGCAATCATGAATTCAGTCCTCTTAGCCAAAAATTTATGTGATTTGTCATTCTATCATCACAGTGTAGATTAATTTCATGCTTTGTCATTTTCTGAAAATATACACTATATTTATTTACTAATAGCAATTTAGATTCAGATTAGAATATATAGGTCTAACATTCAGTAACTGTTTTATTTAGCAGGTGATAAGAACATACTGTCTGTAATGTTATACAGATTATAGTATAATCATTTCATATAACAAATAAAAGATTTAAATTTAATGCATTAGCTTTGAATTTAATATATCAACTTTGACCCTAAAAAGCTCAAATTAGTGTATCATATTTGAGACAGAACATTTAATAATAGGAAGAAGCCTTAAATCTAATGTATTAGCTTTGATCTAGGGCTAAAATTAGTGTATTAAATTTAAGACAGAATATTTAATGATAGAAAGAAAATGCTTTAATTTAATGCATCAGCTTTGGGCCCAAATTGGTGTACTGAATTCAAGATAGAACTTAAAAAAAATTTTCTTTTCAAAATAAAAGTAAGAATAAAACAAACAAATTTATTATTTTGATATATTATGCCGCTTATATGAATATATTCTAATTACTAGTTATAAAAATTAACTGTAAATGATTACTATCCATCGAACATACTTGTATTCTATAAAATAGTATTTATACTCCACCTCAATTTGTTAATTTGATCAAAAAAATTATTAAGTAATGCAATATCACAATATATATTTTTAATCAATTTTAGTATACAATAATATTTAATTGAATATATGTATACTTTAAACAATGAGATTCAAAACTACAGGTAAGCAACAAAATTGGTCACAAATATAATATAATAGCTGATGCTAAATTTAGCTGATGTTGAATATCATATGAAAATTCAAGTCGGAAATTGCAGATCGCATGTCGATCAGGGAAAAATCAAAACAAACACTAACCAACAACAAAGTCCTTCAAGTTCATTTGTGTTAGAGTTATCGTCTATATTAACATTAAAGTTTAGAATGTTATATAGTAAAATCGCTTAAGGAAAACTTTTTGTTAATATACAAAGTGTTGTTTTTTATGAAGATTTTTGAGAAATCAGCGATTTTTAACAAAGAGGCATTTGTTTTGAATTTTCATGATCAATATACGATTTGAAATTTCTGGCCCAAATTCTCATATAATATTTAGCATCAGCTGTGATATATAATATTGCTAGTTTTACAATAATTATAAGAGTAAAAAAAAGTGTTATTACAATTTTTACAAAGTAAATACCTCTATAAGCAACATTTTATTTGAATAACAATACTAATTATTCAAATAATAAATTAATAAAATTTTACTTAATTATTGACCAAATATTTTCCAAGTTGAGTTTCTTTTTAAAAATAATATATTTTCAAATAATGATAATTCTAAATTTATTCTATAAGTATTTATTATAATTCTAATATTAGAAAAAGATGCTTACTGGGTGTTAACATAGCTTGTATTATCATTATTTAACTAATTTTTAGTAGACATTCTGTTATATATTTATCCAGATAGTTATCTAAATGATCATTTAATTATTTTTGTTATCCAAGTATATCACCTGTAACCCATTTTTGTATCTGGATATCTGAATTATCTGCAGATATCTGGATGTTTAGTTAAATGAATCTCAATACTACACCACTGAGACCTAGTCATTAAACAATTAAAATTCTCTATTAGATACATCAATTATTAGTAACAAAGTTTTTTTTTTTAATTAGCCTCTTTGAAGCTAAGATTTTTTATTCAATTATTGAATAAAAAGGCTCACAACAGAACCTCTTATTACATTAGAGAGTACAACTAGCTATATATACAACTTTTAGTTGTCTATTTAAGTAGTCTATATATTAAAATTATACTGTAGAGACTATACTATTTGCTATACCTATAACCCAACTAGGGGATTATTGATTTAAATTCTTTATAATACAACCTACTTGTATTACTAGTTAATGATTGGTGCTATAATTTAAATAGTCAAATATAAGAATGTAATAATTATTTATTACAAAATATAATAATTATAGTAATAGTATATAGCAATTATATAAATATTAGTTATTTGAGATTTTGTTTTTATAAAAATTTAATTTAAATTTTTATTGATTAATTTTGTTATACAAAATATGCATTGTTATTAGATTTTTGAAATAAAGAGCTTTAATTGGCTACAATATTTATATATGTAATAATATTATTATATATAATAAATTTATTACAATTAAGGTTTCAAAAAACTCTTAGTAAAAATATATATAATAAATATTATTATAATAATTAGCTAATTACGGCACCATACTAAGGATGGCAAATGTTTTAAAACAACCTGTTTTAAAACATGTTTTAAATATTTTAAAACATTCAAATTTTTTAATAAAATACAATAAAAAACAATATTTATTTATAGAATTATAATTAAAATCACCCATGGTGATGATCATCATATTACACGATCACGTGCAATGCAAAAAATTTAAATAGCTTATTTTTTGTTTTATAGTAACTTACTCTTAATAGTGTCGTCACCCTTGGTGTCATCGCTTATGGCGTAGTTAATGTTATCGTCATCTATATTTGGATTCTTCGTCATTAGTGGCATTGAATTTGGTGTTTCTGCTCCTTTATCACCTGTATATGATGTTTCTGTTCCTTTATCATATGTGATATTTCTGTTCCTTCGCCGTTGGTGCTGCCATATGTAGTGTTTTCTATCTTGGTTGTTGGTGTCGTTGTATGTGATATTTCGGTTTCTTCGTCTGGTATGTGGTGTTTCAGTTTTTTTCAGTCCATTGTCGTGATGTTTATAGTGCATTGCAGTATGCTAGTTTTGTAGTCTGTGGTGTTGCTGTTGCCTGGTATGATGAACTGTCCTAGCGTTACTAACCTAAAATTTTCACTGGCAAATTAGATTACAAGATTAGGTGTGACGCCGAAACAAACCAAAAAATCACTTATAACTCAACATTTTATTTATGAAACCACCTTCTGTGCACCAATAAAAAAGTTTCTATTATAACTCAACTTAATATCAAAACCTAACAGCGAAATTTTTTAGATTGATAACATTAGATCAGTTGGTATGATGGCAATTCTTGAATGTGTGCCAGGTTTGTGGTGCAGCAAATATTTTTTAAAGCTCATTTATGTTAGGGTTAGAGTCAATGTTGGGGAGTAATTTATATAGTAATGAAAGCTTTTATTAGAGTATTAAAGGTGATTTCTTATGCTGAATTTTGAGAAGTAAGCGATTTTGACAAAACATGCATTTGTTTTGAATTTTTTTGATCACGTTATGTTTCGTAGTTCAGGAAATCTGTGTCACAAACCTGATACACATTCAAGAATTACTGGCATAGTGTGTGGTATTCTTGTCACATTTTTTTTGGAGACATTGTGCTTGTGTTGTTTTGGTGGTTAGTTTGATAACTGTCGAGTAGTTTAGAGCTTAGAAGGTTAAGTATATGTAGTTTAGAGTTTGCTAGTTGCTAGTATAGAGAGTTAGGGTTAGTAGTTTCAATCGTTATGTTAGTTTAGTGTTTAGTAGTGACAAAGGGCTAAAACGATGTGAACAGTCACTTCTGGGTCATTATGTTCGTAAACCAACATTAGGGTTAATCGAAAAGGGCTTTAAATTTTACAAATCAGGTTAGTTCTTAGGTAAGTGTCTTTCGAATTGGTTTTGTCTTTTAATGAACTATTATTGCTACTAACCAATTCTTTATTTTCTCTTAAAAAAATGATCAATTCGGTACGTTGAATGCTGGAAATTATGGGTGAGATAATCTACTGCTTAGTTCTAAGACTACGGCTTTATTATAATATTGTAATATTAGATACAAAAATCTATCGTTTTTAAAATGCTATGGAATATCAAGGGATACAATTTCTATTGTAGTTTTGGAATATGCGTCAGAAGGACCTTTATCACATGTTGAATATAAACCGGAATGCCAAAATCTAAGTTACATGTACAAGACAGACGAACGAAAATCTACCATCACTTGGATAACAATGGGCCGGAAAATGTAAAATTTTAATTGAGTTTAATGATATTGTGTAGTTTAGCGTTACTTTGTATTGTGCGACACGTAATACTATTAGAACTAGTTTTTGTATAGCATAAAACTTATTCTTTATTATGGGCAAAGGGTTCAAATAAATATTTTATATGTAAAATAATAAATATATTATTTAATATAAAAAATATAAGGGGTGGTGATGATCACCACTGGTTATAGTTAGTAAAATTCTTATTTATAAGCCAATCATAGTATAGAATTTTAATCATGTAATATATAGGACTTTTCATAATAAAAGTAGACAATAGGTTAAAAAAATTTTTTATTAATCTTAATATCTAAAAAATTCTTAAACTATATTATATAAGTTTACTAAAATATACTAGTAATATTCAATACTACAATTATTAAATCTCAAACAATTAACTAAAAACTAAAATCAGATATATTAAGTAAAAATGTTCAAAATCCTCAAAAACCTTATACTAACCAATATTTGAATCTTTATATCTAATCTTTTCTTAGTTTATAACTCTACTTTAGCCCAAAATTTTATAACAAAAAATATATGTGGTGTTAAACACCACTAATGCATTTTGCTCTAAATTTTATAGCAAAAATATATATACTGTAATATCAAATATTACTAGTTATTTTGGTATTCTTCATATTATATATTTAAAAAATTGTATTTATAAAGTATAAATTTTTTTATTATTTAATAAAAAACACAAAAAATGTTTTAAAACATGTTTTAAAATATGTTTTAAAACACAATAAAATAAAAAACATGTTTTTTGCCATTCCTATACTATACTTAATCACTAGTACATCTCTGTTACATTTATTAGTTGAAAAATATCAAATGCTTCCTATTTTCTTAAGACTAATTTATCTTTAAAGCATTATTATTAAAGCTTTTTGTATTTACAATCCAGCTAACTTAGACTTCGATAACTTATATTAAATCCAGATACTAGTACTTCTGCTCTTATAGAGTTTACCCAAATCTCAGTATACACTACAGATTATCATTAATACCTAAGTTTTGTCAATAATCCAAACTCCTAATCTAGATAGCTTGGAGGGGTTATAATTTGTTCTGGTCCTCATGATTAGATCTTTTTTCTCTGGTTATTTGTCTGGTGGTCTGGTTTTTTGCCAAATATTTAGTCCTCATCTAAATTATTAAAATTGGTATTCGGATCCCTTAGATAATCCTTTACATAGTATTGTTAAAGATCTGTGCTACTTCTCTACTTAAGACTTGCCAAACAGATTTTTGTGTACCTTTAAACAGCTGAACAAGAGTTTAAATCTCACTGGTGATAAAATTTGAATTTTACAGAATGTATTACAACAGACTGTATATAATCTGACAAGTTGATACCTATAAGCTTAGTCATATCTATAGATACTGATAAAATTAGTAAAACTTTGGTGAATAGTAATGATAATTGGTAAAACTAGTAAAATTTAATATAACAGCTAATCAAATTTTAGATAATTACTAGTTTTACTAATATTATTTAGTTTCATTAGCATCTATAGTCATACCAGCTTATACTAGAAGACTATAGAAATGTATTAGTTTGGTCTGATTTCAGTTCTAGTAGAACCATTATAATAGTATTTTCAGTCTTGATCTGGTCTATCTTTAGTTCTAAACTGGTCTTTCAATGACTATATCATATCTTAATAAATTAGACTTTATTGATTAAAAATGATATAATTACTTATTGTTAGATATAAACAAATATCATATAATTTATATTACACCTAATTAAGCAATTTGATTAGATAATATAAATATTATAACAAAACTGATCTAGGACCAGTCCTTTAACAGTCCTATAATCCTTATTAATTCTAATCTGAAACTAGTTCTGAACTAGTTTTTTTTAAAACTAATATATTTCTAGAAGGCTATAAAACATTAGTATAATATATAAGTTATACAAAATCTGAGTGAAGCAGCTAGATAAATCTAGAAGCTTGAATATACAAAAGCCTGCTTAGCAAGTCTCAAATAGAAAGATAATATAGACTTTTAATTTTTTTTTTTTGTAGTCAAGGTTAGCCTCTTTGGCTTATCACTTTTATTAGATATTAGAATTATGTAGTGCCCTTATCGAAGGGGCCCCAGACAAGTACATTTTAACGAAGATACATTCTAACCATATCTGCACCTTTTGAGTGTCTAATTAAGTATACTACCTATGTACTAGGTGCTACACTAGATGTCATACCTGTAATCTACTATTATTTGAGCTATCCAATTAAACACTCTGATCTGAGTTTCCTATGTCAATCCATCTAACCTTACCCAGAACATGCGATACATAAGTCAGTCTAAGTTCCGAGATCGTTGCGTCCACCTATAGGACTACCGGCATAGTTAACCGATTCATCCTCGAGTGCATCACCTGCTAGAGCAATCCGGTATCTACTATTCCTGTATTACCTAGTCTTCTTCGGTAATTTACGCCTAGGCCGAGACCAAGTACTTGCGAGCTGAAGCCGCTATCATTACCTACTACTGCCCTTATAGAGTTCACCCAAACCCTGGTACACCTACAGACTTTTCCCAGTCATAACATCAATTCCAAACTATCAATCCAGATGGCCCAGAAGGGCTGTGACCTGCCCCTGGTCCCACAATTGGGTCCTTTTCCTCTGTTTACTCTTCTGGCGGCCTGGTTGGTGGAGTGCCTTGCCAAACACTTCAGTTCTGTTCAGTTTATCCAGTTCATCAGGTAGTAATCTGCATGTAGTATCGTCAAAGATCTGTACTACCTCTCTACTCGGAACTTCCCAAGCAAGCGCTCCACCGCCATATTGGCTCTGTGGCTTTCTGCGATTCCGAAGAACTTATCTTGGGTTTGCACTGACTAAACCGGCTTATATGCCTTTGTATAACTCCTTTTATTACACAAATGCCTCAGAATCTTCCAATTTTTATCTTGGTATGACCACAGTTACAGGGTCTCGAGTTTTCTCAGCCACGACGATAGTTGCCGAATCCGTTTTTCTAAATTCAATTTTTCGCCTTCCGTGGGAATTGAACTTATACTCTACCGCTTG